TTTTTATATTTATATTTTATATGTACATGGTTTTCATCGTAAACTTTTGTAGGGTCCTTTTTAGTTTTCAGTTGATATAATATCAGGTAATTTCATGTATGTTGTTGCAGGGGTTGGTAACTTATTTTCTTAGATTTTTAGTTACCCACCAAAGAAATGAGCATACTAGGAAGGAAGGAAGAGGGAAGAGAAGAGCAGCAGCATAAAATGCCAGTGTCCCCAACACTGAAAACATATAGAGCAGTGAGCCTAGTGATGCCAAAGAGCCTGTGCTGCTGGACGTGATGATGTGCTAGTGTGGGACTTAGCCATTAAGGGGTGCTAGAGAAACACTGAGGCACCAGATGTGTGAGTAAAGCCTCTTTGTTAGCTGAGTGCAGCAGAGAAAGTAACTCAGGTGATTCCACATGGACCCCTTGAACCTGCCTAAGTTCCTGACTCACAGAATTGTGGGAAATAACAAATCATTTTAAACCACTAAATTTTGGGCTGTTTTTTGTGTAGCAGGAGATACTTGATAGACCAGCCCACCTGACTTTGACTGCCACGCACATAGAATCCAGGAAATACTATTCCTGGAACCCTTTCCTTAGGAATCTGATAGACAAGGTACTTGACACAATCAGAATGACTGTAGAAACATCAGAGTAAAAGCTAGTGATGAGCATTAGAACTAGGGTTAAATGAGGGATATAAAGCAGTGTGTGATGGCTGTATGTTTTAATAAAGGAAATTCAACTTTCAAAAATTGGAGGGAGAGTATGTGCAGAACAGTTTTTTAAAACTTTTTAGCAGTCATATTTGTGTTTGTAGTGTTGGTTTTGTATTCAGATAGTGTTTTCTGCATATTGTGCAGCAAAGCAAATGAATAATTTTAAATATTCTAATTCTGTTATCTCTTATGTCTGGAGCCAGGAGTCTCTGTGTGGAAGAAATAATTTTCAGATGTAAGTTAGGAGATTAAGTAAACACCCTGTGCTCCTGAGTTTTAATTGAAGTATCAGTATGAACTCATGAGATATTTTAATTTTATCTTAAAATGGTATATATACTATATGTATATATTTTTGTACGTATGTATATGTATAATGTTAATCTGAGAATGTTTTATGTGTATTGCAGAATAAAGCCAATGAATATTTATGTGATATTTTAATTTTGATATTTCCTAGCTCTGTCTACAAAAAGCCTCAGAAAATGAGCAAGCCTAGTTCCCAGAATGTGATATTCAGAAGCTGTTGACTTCTAGAAGAAACCAGGGCTTCTTTGATAAATCTTTGATTTCAGATCTGGGGCATGAAATACAAAAAGTGATCCTAGAATGTTTTTGTACCATGTACCAAGGAAATTATCAGTAACTACTAACCAGAGTCATGACAAAAGGATTCAGGAGCCAACTTGAAGAGGCTTGGGGGTGACCAACTATGTATGTCAGTTTTAGCACTGAAAGTCCTGTGTCCTGGGAATCCTTTGAGTATCAGGCAGTTCAGCACAGTTGATCCCCCTCAGATGCTCCTACTGGCTGAAAATGGGATGCTGTGAGCATCTCTAAGGATGAGAGCTGCAATGGATTGGCATTTTTTTAAATGTCTAAATTTAAATTTATGAGTCCATAATGATAGCCAGAACAGTGAACTAATTGTTCATCTTTGGTGGGTATTAGGAAAGCAGCCCTTCATTCTGAAAACTGATAAACCAAGAGAAAGAAGCAAGTGTTGATTCTTACTTTTCTGTATAAACGGTACCACTGGGTAAACAAATGGGTGTGGTAGTTTCTTTTCATAGAGAAATTCTATATGCTAGCAAATAAAGACAAAATGATAGAACTCGAGTATCACCATTTTGCAGTCATTATGTTTTAATGGATTTTGACATCAAGTGTCAGTGACTGCCAAAAACACACAAAAAGAGAAAGTCATACATATGCTATAAATACACCACTACCTAATGAATAATTGTGCCGACAATATTAAACCTGAGTCTGATGAAGCTGCCTGCATCTAATTACTAACACACAGGAAACGTAGAAGACAGAGGGACTTATTAAACTGCCCTGTGGGATGCAGTCAGGAAAACCCAGTCTGTGGGGAACTGTATAGAGCAGATGATCCAGTATGTTCAACAGATGGCAAAGGGAAGAAGAAGATGCTAATGAAACCTATGTAGATTTTTAAAAGGGTGAAATTAAACTATAGCATATAAGGATACACACTTCAATAATAAAACCATAAAAAAAGAAGTAAGTAAGTGGTACCGCAAAAGCCAGAGTGGTGTCTCTCTTGGTTGGGTTGTGGGATAGAGGAGATGGGTGGAGGGCGTCGTGATTGGGAGTGGGTACTGGAGGGCTTCTGTAGTGGCAGAGGTGGTTTTGTCTCTTGATGTGCATGGTAATTCCAAGTTCATTTAGCTGTAATTTCTGTATGTGGTTTTCTTTATTTGTAATATCTAAATCTACATTTTAAAATACTTTCATTTTTAGAGCAGTTTAGATTCACAGCAAAATTGTGAGATACAGATTTCCCATATATCCCTTGCCTCCACACATAGCCCTCCCCTTAATCAGCATCTACCAGCCGTGTGGCACATTGGTTACAATTGATGAATCTTATTGACACATCGTTAGCGAAGTCCATTGTTCACGCTTGGTATACATTCTCTGTGTTTTGAAAACTGTGTAATGGCATACATCCATTATTATAGTTTCATAGAGCATATTTTCAATGCCCTGAAAATCCTCTATACTCTGTCTGTTCACTCCCCCAACTCCTGGCAACCGCTGATCTTTTTAACTGTCCCCAGAGTTTTGCCTTTTCCATGATATCTTATCATTGGAATTATATAGTATGTAGCCTTTTCAGATTGGCCCTCTCACTTAGTAATGTGCTGTTAGGTTTCCTCTCTGTCTTTTCATGGCTTGATAGATGATTTCTTTTTAGTGCTGAATAATATGTTTGTATTATATTTGATGGTAAAAGTCTGAAATAAAACTGAAGAAAAGGAAATGGATTGGAGTGGAGGCAACTGTATTATGAAATGGTGGGAGTTGATGCCTTATAGATTATCGAAGACTTGTTGACTGAGGATTTTATAAAGTGCTGTTCTGAGAAGATTCAACATAATCTGTTAGTAGAGAGCCACTGAGGTTTATTAAAAAGGGGGCTGGAGTGCTGAGAACTGTGTTTTAAGAAGATAAATCTGACAGGATGGATTTCAGTAAGAGACTGGAAAGCTACCCAGGAGACCATAGTATTAAGGTGAAGGTGTTAAAGATTTGGATTAGAGTGATGCTTGTAGGGATAGAAGTAAAATAACTGTTGTGTTACACAACAGAAGTATAATCAGTAAGACTTGGTAACAAATGAAGTATGTTTAAACAGAAGAGCATTAGAAATAAGCTCAAAGATTTCACGTTTGAGGGCATATTCTTTATTGGGTAGGTATTGGGGAATTCTGGCAGGACAGTTCTCGGAGATTATACTAAAGATAATGTTATTTGTCCTCATGATCTATTTAGAACCCCAGAGGAATGATGGCTAGGGATTCTGCGTTCCAAATGGTACATCTAAAAATGTAATTCTGACAAGCAAGAAACTGATAACAGTGATTATTTTTGGTAAGTGCGTAGTTGGGACAAAGATATAAGGGTGATTTTTGTCTTATTAATTTTTTGAATTTTGAATCATATAATTCTATTACTTATTCAGAAAACAAATAAAATTTATTTCAAAGATAAAAAGATACTCCAAATTCCAGTTTACAGGAGGAAATCCTTATTTGGCATCCTTTTATTATTTCAAGTACTTCAGACAATAGTTACTCAGAAAAGCAGTCAGGTAAACATGTTTTATACTTGGTTACCTTTGACTTACATATGTTTGCAAATGTTGTATATTTGATTGTATGTTTGTGTATGTTGTGTGTGCGTATGTGTGTGCATAAACGTGGCTGTATGTGGCTCTAGGGAGTGTATATTTCACTCAGAAAAGATGTTTATAGCTGGAGCCTCAGGGACCTTGTATTCCTAGCGCTTTTAATTCTTATTGCCACCAGTTAGGATCTTCTTTCTTAGGAAAGGATGTGTTCTTGCTTCTCAACCAGCTTCAGGGCCATTCAGAGATGGTGGTGAAGCAGCGTAGACTTCCTTGTGTCTTCTTCATTATCACTGCTGGAGCTGAAGGTCACTCCATATCTGTTATTCCATCAGTCTCCCTTCTTCTCATTCTCCCCAGGCAGTCGCCCTGGATTGCATCTGTAATAAAGTGTCCTGAAATACACGAGTATTCACTTCATGTCTTAGTCTTTCGGTTAGGTACAGACTCAGTACTGGATCTGGTAACGAAAAAGGGAATAGGACGTGACACATAAATGTTAATTTTTTTGTTTTAATAACTTTCTCTTTTACAGTTTGTCACTGATGATTTTAAAATTAGGAAAAATCAATAAGGACACGCTTATTCTGTGAGGGCTAGTGAAATTGGGCATTTTAAGTTTGTTCCCCTAGGGACACAGGGAAGAGAAACTAGGATTGGAAACAGTAGTAGGAAGCTAAGCATCCCTAGCACAGTGGTTGTCAACCTTAGGCACATACTGCGTCCACGTGAGAATATTGGGGAAAAAAACAAAACTGGTGCCTAGTTCCATGGAGATTCTGGTTTAATTAGTCAGGGCTCTGTCTACCCTGGGCATTGGAACTTTTTGAACGTACCCACTTGAATTTAATAGGAAGTCAAGACTGAGGACCACTGGCCTAGAGAAGAAAACTGTCTAGGACTGAAGAGAGCAGTACTTGGGTTTCAGAGCACCTCAATCCCAAATTCTCCTTGATTAGGATAAATTGGAGTTTATCTTAAAATTTTGAGACTTGTGATTATTTAGGTTTCTGATTGGTAGAAGGAAAAAATACGTGAATGGATCTTTAGCATCTGAAAGGAGTGGACAGATTCACATAGTAATAGTAATAAAACTTCATGGATTAATATTACTTATTTAACACTGCACAGGTTGCCTGTGATTTGCTTCGGAGAATAATTCGCATCTTGTATCTCAGTAAGAGACTCCAAGGACAACTGCAGGGGGGAAGTAGAGAGATAACAAAAGCTGCTCAGAGTCTCAATGAACTTGGTAAGTCCTTTTGTTTATTGATTCACTGTTTGAAGGAAGTTTGTTGTTTCCAGTTCTTGGTGGTTATGAATAGAGCTACTTTAGTATTTCGGTACAGGTCTTGTGTGAACTGAAGTTGTCATTTCCCCAGGAGAAATATCCAGGAGAAATGCTGTGTTTTAGGTAACGGATCCCATGTTGACATTATGTCTAGAAGATCTGTTGATTTCATTTCTTCATTCGTTGATCTTTTCTCTAACGTTTAGAGCAGACTCTTGACATTCAAGGGTTTTGCATTCATGGTTTTGACTGTTAACAGGCTGCAAGGTTCATGATGAAGCAGTTCATAATTTTTCAGGCAAAATTTCGAGTGTCTGCTGAGTGCACATAGAACTACCTAACCACCTGCATTTTAATGAGGCTTTGTGGTTTTCTTTTTTTCATTCGGTACCCAGTGATTTTTCTGAAGTGAATGTGTTTGTGGAATTTGTACTTTGTAAGTTCAGAAGGTCTTTGATTATATCCATCTCATATCAAGAGTCTCCTAATTCTTAGTAATGTGCTTTGAAAGTAGTTATGCCAAAAGAATATCAGAAAGATGTGCATTACATGTTCTTTTTGAATTTTCCTGTCTTTGATATTTCAATTACATTGTACTGTAATACTTATTCCCTGTTTTTTTTTTTTACTAGGAAAGTGCAATATCCGTCACAAACCATGTTTCATTTTAACCTATAATGCTCAAATACATTGCGTAGGCACATCATTGGGAATATAACTTATGATTTAGTATTCTTGGAATATATTGTATAAAAAGTTAATTTTTAAACAGTGAGTAATGCTTCAGTGTTTCTTCCACAGTACGTGATAAATATAGAAGTGTAAAAATCCTAGTATCAGCTGTTATTTTTTGCTTTATCACATGTAATTTCTGTACTCCAAAAAATACACTGCAGGATAATAGGATCATTAAAAGCAAACACAAATTATTTCAAGACTTATTATGTATATTTGTCATCACTGATACTTCACTATAGTAAAAAGTAGCTAGATTGTGATTGTGATTGTCATCTCTTATAGAAACAACAGATGCTGTAATGCAAATGGTGATGTCTTCTTTTTTAAAAAACAGGCACAGTTATTAGTCATAATGTTCTAAGTTGTTGCAGTGTAGAATATAAATTCATTATCCTTCCGATGAGGCATTGGCTTTACCCAAAGTTTTATAAATAGTAAGTGAGGACAGGTTGTTGAGAGAGTATAGTAAATGGTCAAGTTATCTCAAAATGGATAGTATTAATTTAAATTTTGAAAGCTTTGCAGATTATGGGCTATTCAGAATTTGCAAAGGCATCATGTCTTCATCATTCATCACTGTGGTTCCGTCTTGTCTAGTCCTGACATTGGTAATAAAGGGGAGCCAAGAGGGAGAGAAAGTTTCTACATTTGGAATTAATATTTTAATTAAAGTAATAATTTCATAATCACAGTTACTCATGTACACTAAATATTTCTATGAACATCTCTGATGTTATCAATGTCTGTATCTGTATGGTTCTGGTTCTCATTAGAAAGAACAAAATGAAGAGTAGCAGCCCTTGAAATTAACTTAAAACCAATCTATCAAATGTGAAAAAAGATCTTGAGGCTTGAAATGCAGTGACCAGATGAAATACTTTGTTATCTAGAGATTAAGTATATTTTGAGGGACTGAGGGGAATGTCAGTGACTTCTAATGGGACAGATTTCTCTTTGGAGTGATGAAAATGTTCTGTAATTAAATAGTAGTGATGTTGCACAACCTTGTCCATATACAAAAAAGCCACTGAATTGCATGCTTTAAAAGGTGGAATTTTACGGTATATGAATTATTTATCAATTAAAAAGTATATTCTGGTCCCTAGTGACTATTATCTCATGTTGGTTACTTTTTTTTTTTTTTTTGGAATTGAGGTCTAAGTGACATACAGTAACCTGCAACATATTGAAAGTATATGATTTGGCAAAGTTTTGGCATGAAACCCTTACGAATATTAAGATAGTGAACATAACTATCCCTCTCTAAAATTTCCTTATGCCCCTTGGGAATCCTCCTTAGGCATCTACGGATCTGCTTTCTGTCACTATAGATTAGTTTGCATTCTACTGAATTTTATGCAGGTGGAATCATGTAGCTTGTATGTGTTTTTGCTTGGCTTCTTTCAGTCAGCTTAATTGTTTTGAGATTCATCTAGGTTGTGTGTATCAATAGCTCATTCCTTTATATTGCTGAGTAGTTTTCCATTATGTGGATATCCCACAGTTGGTTTATTCATTCACCTGTTAATGAATATTTGAGTTGTTCTAGTTTTTGGCTATTAGAAATCATGATAGCTATTTGTATGGACATATGCTTTCATTTCTCTTTGATAAATTTCTCTTTGATAAATATGTGTGTTTAACTTTTTTTTGGGAGGATTAACCCTACCTGATTTGGAGACTTATTACAAAGACTTACAGTACACAAAACAAAAAGATAGACAAATAAGTCAATGGAACAGAATAGAGAGCCCAGGAATAGACCCACACATATAGAAACAAAGGATTTTTGATATATTTAGTGGAGAAAAGGTAGTCTTTTCAACAGATGGTACTGGGACAGTTGGATGTGTAAAACGGTGAACTTGTGTTCATGCTTATCATCATGCAGAAAACTGAAAATGGGTCATAATCCTAAATGTAAAACCTAAAACTATAGAACTTCTAAAAGGAAACATAGGAGATCATTTTTATGACTCTGAGTTAGAAAATGATTTCTTAGCTATATTATCTAAAGCACAGTCCCCCCTCCCAACAAATTGATAACTTAGACATTATCAGAACTTAAAACTTCTGGTCTTTAATACTGTTAGAAGAATGAAAAGTCAAACCGTAGACAAGGAGAAAATATTTGCAAAGTGTGTATTTAATAAAGAGCTTGCTTCCAGAATGTATAAAAAAACTTTCAACATTGCTAAGAACACAAACGACCCAATTTAAAAATAGACAAAAGATTGGAACAGATACTTCACTAAAGGATATACGTGAATGACAGATATGTGTATAAAATACTCAACATTATTAGGCATTAGGGCAATAAAAATTAAAATCATACTGGTGTCTTACTTGAAAGAGAATAAGCAGAATTATTTTAGTGCAGACTTATGCATACTTTTTCATGCAGATTATTATGTAATGATTGAAAAATAAAACTACTTAGTATAGATTTCAGGATTAAATTGTAGCACTTTGATTTATGGCTTTTTTTCAAGGAAAGTCTTGTGACTAGATGAAAATTTAATGGGCTTTACTACAAATTGGTAACTTTTGAGCATTAGTTAAGATGATATACTTAAAAATACATTTTTTTCATAATGTTACCAACTACCTTTTAAAATTGTTGTTAGCCCATCTAAGCAGTCTCCATATAATTTAGTGTAAATTTAGTATTTTTCAGAAGTTTTTGAACAGCTCAGTAAACTGTCTTTGTGAACCAGAGGAAGGCAACTCTTAAAATTATTGTCTGACAGTCCTTTATCAGGATTAGAAATACAATTTTCTCCTGCTGTCCAAAAGTAGAGTGTTTCTTATGAAACCTTGTATAAGCTGAAATGGCAGAAAGTGAGGGAGCAGTTACCTTAGGACACATCTTGTTAAGGGATACACAAAACAAATTGAGATTAATGCACAGATGCTCACAAAGCTATGGCAGCTTGATGCTGAGATCTGAGTATGGCTCTGAGGAAGGAGCTTGGTAGTGTTACCCTCGCTGCTTGGGGTATGTGTTGCACTTTATGATGGCCTGCTGCAAAACAAACACTAAATGCTATTTTTGTATTTTGCCTTTTCTCAGATTTCTTTTGGTTGGTTAAAAAGGGTACTAATGTAGGTCTTTTAAAAAGTGAAATGGCGTAAAGCAAAGTTATGAAAAGTTACGAATACCTGTATTGAAAGGTTCTCATAATATCAATACAATTGGCCTGTATTGGTGGGTTCTGCTTCTGGAGATCTAACTAAAAACCAGGATCAAAAATATTAGAGAAAAAAAGGTTCCAGGAAATTCCAAAAAGCATAACTTGAATTTGCCATGCTAGCAACTGTTTACGTAGTATTTACAACTATTTACATAGCATTTACATTGTATTAGGTGTTATAAATACTCTGGAGATTTAAATTATATTTTGATTTAAATTTGATTTAAAATACATGGGAGGATGTGCCTGAGTTTTATGCAAATACTAGGCTACTTTATATAGTAGGAGTTGAGCATCTGCATATTTTGGTGTCCTAGGGGGTCCTGGAACTATCCCTCATGGATACTGAGGGACAACTTTATATCTGGATCAGGTTGAGTAATAGTTTTGCTTATTCTGTGGAGTGCATTGTGCTTTTTCTGTGTTGAATTGAAGCTATAATAGTGAAACCAGAAAATGCTATACTTCCACAATCAAAATTAGCACTTTCTAGTTTCTCCTATGGAGCATGATCAGGTATTCTACCCATAATACAGACACATTGCTCCGTCTATCATACAGTCAGTCATTGGTGAGGAATCTAGTGTACTCTTTGCTTCAGTGTGATCAAATGATAAAATTCTGCTGGATACTTTTGGATTAGAATATTCAAATGTAGAGAGAACATGGGAGATGTACATCTGTACTTCTTAGAATTTATTAGATGATTCTTTTCTTGTGTAGAGGCATACCTTGTATTTACTACGTGTTTGGTTCCAGACCACGGCAATAAAAGGAATATTGCAACAAAGCGAGTGACATACAGAAGTTATGTTTATACTATTAAGTATGCTATAGCATTATGTCTTAAAAAAATGTATGTACCTTAATTGTAAAAATACTTCATCGCTAAAAAATACTAGCCATCATCTGGCAATGCAGGGTTGTTACAAACATTCAATTTGTTAAAAAAAAAAAAAAAGCAATAAGCATGAAGCACAATAAAGTAAACGCCGTACAATAACGTGTGCCTGTACTAGTTTCCTTGGA